AGGAATTATAAATTAATATCAATGAAATATGGGAAAAAAGATAAAAATTTTATCGATACATAAAGCTTCTTGGCAAGAGACAAATAAATGTTGCACTGTGTTTTATTTGATATTTGTCTATAATCTCTGTAGTAGAAGGAAGTAAATAAATTTTGTGTATTTTAATACACATTTCATATACTTGTTATAAACCCAACTACATAATGTGAGCTTAAAAATGCAAGAATTTTAATATAGCAATAAACTCAATAGTGTAAGCAATAATAAGTAATAATTAGTTACAATTGATAGTGTGATATTACATATCTTTGACATACAAGATTAATAAATTTGCTAACTAATTAGCACATTGCTTATGTTTACAAGTACGAGAATTATGACTAACACTTTTGTAACAACTACACATGTATTTATTGCCTTTTCTTCCACCAAATTATTACTATGCTGAGAAGATTCACCCACGTTATTTTGCTGTCTTGAATGCCGAATTGTCTCTTCAAATTGTTTGTAATTTCTACAATTCGATTTATTTATCCTATATGAAGAGCTGATAAAAATATCTGCCAAAAAAAATAAAAATAAAGAATAAATTTACTTATCTACGACTATCTTGTAAATCCTCTATATATTTACAGATCCTTTGTATCGGCTCATCAGCCTTTTGATTTTGGCGTTTGGAAGTATGGTTTTCTAATACGTTTCTTATATGCTTTTTTGGTGCACCTTTTGTACGCATCAAATGAGGGTTACTAATACTTGGTATATTTTTATTGTTAAACTCATTTAAATTTCTGTACACCCTTCTTTCCATTTCGCCAATCTAATTTTGCAAAAGTTTATTTAGCTCACTTTCACAACCAGTTTCAAGAGCCAAATTGACTGCTTTTTTTGTATATCCAAGGCCTTGTTGATATTTTGCTTGACAAGACAAATTCTGTTTAACAGTCTCTGAAAATATTTGTATATGATGAATCTTATTGAGAAAATTGAAGTCTGCATTAATTGATGTTCGTATGTAGGTATGTTACTATCAGAAGAATATTCTCTTCTAGCGATAGTAATCGCAACTTCTTGCTAGAGATCATAAGTTGTTTCATTATACTAACGGTCTGGAATAAGGCCAATGTGAAATATGCTTTATTCGAATTAAGCATTACTAAAAAAAAAGTGATAACAAACAAGCCCTTTCATCACAAGATTCATACAGCATGCACAGATAGTTGGCGTTTTTGCAAATTATTACAAAATGTTTCTAGGATTGTTCAACAGTTGTTATGTACCACACTTCTTGAAAGGTAGATCGATCAATGCATTTAACTAACGAATCTAAGCTTGATATAATGGACTCATATTCGTCTTTAGCAAAATTTATATTATTACTTAGATTTATTGTATCATCATCCATTTCATAAAATTCTTTGGAATCTTTATTATATAATTCCTGAAAATTGGCTTCCTCATCCGAATCATCTACCTGCAAAAAAAAAAAAA